TGAAAAAAAAAAACAGTAAAATTCAGAAAAATTATCAAATAATGTTGAAAATACCAGGTGCACATCTTCATATGGTAAATAATGAGTGTACAAATTTTCATACAATTCTATGAAATAGTCTTTGAGAAAAGGTCAGTGATAATAAAAATGAAAAAAAAAACACCTGCAAAATGCAGAAAAATTATTCAATCATGATGAAAATACCAGGTGCACACTTTCATATGGTGAATAATAAGTTTACAAATTTTCAGACAGATCTACATGTATGTAGATCTAGTTTCCGAGAAATGCTTTGGACAAAATCTCGTCTACAGACAGACGGGCAGACAGACGGACATGGTGATTCCAATATCCCCCCTAAACTTGCGGGGGGGGGGGGGTATAACTACACATGTACGTCTATCTATCCAGAAGACCTCCTTTGTTCTGCCCGAAACAGCGTGCTCGGCACTCCCCGCATCTCATTAGACCCCAGGCGTTACATGCCCCCCTCGGGATAAAAATAGATAAACCGTCCACGCGTATTTCGTTGTACACAAGATAGCAAATAATATTCACTAACAACGCAATATTACATACACAAGTATAACCAAAAGGTTAATGCGGTAATTAGATTATCAAATGAAATATATGGAGATAACGAACAGTATTCAAGCTCAAAAGTCCATTAAACAATACAAAATAGGAGCAGAGCAAACACGGACCTCTAAACATCAGAGGTGGGATCAGGTGCCATGGAGGAGTGAGCATCCCCTGCCGACCGGTCACACCAGCCGTGTGCTCCTTGTCATGATCGGGAAATAACGGAAAAATCCGTCGACAATTCAGTGTGTAAATAATGGCCTAACAATTAGTATGAAAAACGTCAGTCAGCATTTGACTCAATGATAAATTGTATTTGCTGACAAGGTCATTGTATCGACCATAGAACTTACGAAATGATGAAGGTATATTGCTGCATAAGTAAGGGAAGTTGACGATTGAAAAGTTAAAGTCATCACGTTTATCATAAAGCTTGGTTGTTAGATTACCATTAACGTCTTTTTCAAGTAAAATATCCAAATATGAAACAGATGTGTCAGACTCTGTGGTATCTTTTATCTCAAGCTCACCAGGATATATCGTATCGACATAAGAATGAAAATAGCCATTGTTAATTGACAATACATCGTCGATATATCTAAATGTCGAGTTGAAGGCCACAGCAAGTGTTTTCTTCTTTTCACGTACAAGATTTTGGACAAATTCTGCTTCATATGAATACAAAAAAAGGTCTGCTAATAACGGGGCGGCACTTCAAACTGACACTAAAAATTCGCTAAAATAAGACAGTCGGAGAACTGAAGTCGAATAAACCAGGAATAGGTTAATTTACAAAATAATTCAACATAATTTAAGGCTTTTCATGGCCGATATTCTGAATTCCGGAATACATCCGCGACACTTGTATTCACGAAACTTCGATGATTTTCTATAGTCTGTCCTACGACCGGAACATCACCACTTTCTGCAAGATATCTCAAAATATATAAATACCTTGGCTTTCAACTAGATTCGATCGGTAGATTGATTTTTTTTTCAAACTTCCTGCATTGATCCGAACCCTCGAGGTCAACCAGTGTGTTGACACGGCGGCAAATTCAAAGTCTACGGGGATTTAACATTGCCAAAATGGCCGCCACTTCAGAAGGGGATCCATCATTATTCGTGATATTCCGTACATTGCCGTCAGTGAGGTAACGACGTCATACACGTTCAGGAATGCCCTGTGCTTATCGACGTCCGAAAAGGTATAACGCCCGAGACTTGCCAACTATTTATTACGTCTTTGACAAAACTTTCATACCCAAACGAAAGGGATCAAAGATTTTTAAATAGAGCTAGCCTATACACTGTATAAAGAAAAGAGGTATAACTCAATTCATATATCCTAAGAAACTGCATGTTTATAGCTCGAGTGACATGACTGCTTTTAGAACCAAAACATAGAGATCTAACTTCTAGTAAGCGTATTCATATCATTAAGATTATATGTATTAAAATAAATACTGCTTTACCTCACTCCTTAGCCTTCCATATAAATCCAACCCCCTATAGTTTTAAACACGGTCAAAGAAAGCATCATATCACTTCTTTGTGCACAACCGATGTCCGTACCTGCACTGTATATATTCTGTTTTTGTTACACTTTCAACACTTTAAACAAATAAATCAACAACCAATATTCTATTTTGAATCTCGGTGCAAAACAACAATTGTTTGTCTGCATCAAACTACGTCACCAATGTATTTTGACCTTGCCCTTCGAAAACTTGATATATTTTTAGTGTTTCCACAAATATAACAGAATGCCAAAAATTAAATACTCAATCCTATACACACAAGATCTACATAACACAAGAAAAAGATTATGCTTTTTTTATTATCATTTTAATTTTTTCCTTCTTTATTTATCATCTTATTTTTTTCTTTTGGTAAAAAGTTCCATAGTTTTACAATAAATAAAATAAAAGATTATACATGTATATATTAACACTTTCAATGAGATCAGGGGAAAGTAAACTTAGAGTTTATTTTTAAATCTAAATTTGCAAGACATGAAGTCAAAGCCCTAGTCTGTTGATTCTCATATAATAAAAAAAATATAAATTTATAAAAACAATAGATATTTTTTTTGAATCAGAAATTTAATTGTAGGATACCAAATAGATACCTGGTGGAGACACAAAATAGACAAGCACAAACATTTACATTAAATAAATTCAGCCATAAGTAGCTGCGGATACTTGAGAAGTAATTTTGGCTATATTGACTGTACATATCAGTCTGGGCAGCTTAGTGGTTAGAACACCTCATTAGTTTACTTACTGTATCACTTCAGTCAGAAATTGATAATTCAAGTTTTCTATCGAAGGCTAAGAATACAAACCTGCATACTGGAAACTTTTTTGCACTATGAGTGCTACTAAGCAGTAGGTTTCTTAGCATTCACAAAAGCAAACAAAATTCCTAATAAATCTTATTCTTATTAGTGTAATAACAATAATTATGAAAAGCATTACATTTTAGATGATCCAAATGAACAAATCGATAACAAATCGATAACATAATTTATCTATTGAATTCCATTTTTGATATTTGAATAACAATTTTGGTAAAGTTTCTCATTCTGTTCTCGATTCAATAAATCTTTGATTTGTTAAACAGACAGACGACAATAGACACTTGCATGAGTGGGTTAAGGTTTGCCATAAAATATTACAATGCATCCTATCTATTCACTTCTCTGAACTACCAAGATAAGGCGTCAAAGTGTTTTGTCGTAAATTCTCATAGCCCGTTTCTAATGGTTTTCTTGTTGATTCTACATTGGAAAACAGTTGCAGAATGGACAGCCGTTCTACTCCCGGGCTGCAAGTATGAGAGTCTGATCGCTGTATCCTCCTACGTTAGGCAAACTTCCCGGGTCTACAACTTCGTTGACGATTGTTGATATTCCCTGTATCTCTAACGCGGCGAGAAGTCATGATATATCCGATCGGGAGACTTTACTAAACGTGGGATGTGAATGCAAATAACTTTTAAAATTTGAACTGAAGAAGATATGTTCAGTTGAAAAACAGGTATTAATTAGATGAAAAAGCTATAATTTTCATGTTAGAACAAGAGAGATAGGGAAATTCGCTCCATGATTGATCTTGTGTCTTGTCTCAATACAGAGACACTTGTAAATAGAACTCTAAGATTTTAGTAGTTAATTTGAAATTTTCAATCAGAAATCTACATTAAAAACATAAGTCATGCGTTTCCCTATCCTTTCAGTATATATTGTTCATAACGGATAGTTCTAAGTTGATTTCCTACATTTGATCTTACATATACGTGCACAGAGTTTCAAATTTTATAATACAATAAAATAATGCTAAAATGAAGTCAAATTGAACATCCATATGCATTGTAGATAATGTACAAGACTTGACATACATGAAAATTAGCAAAGGGAAACATTTCCGTGAAATAAAGATTAATAATGGGCAATTATATGCATTAGACTTACCGTAGACACAACTTTTTTTTTAAATTTGCATGTATGTTTGAAACAGCTCAGTAATGGTACATGCATTATGAACGTATGAAATATATGGCAATAAAAGTATTCAAGCTCAAAAGTCCATTCAAACAATAAAAATCGGGAGCAGAGCAAACACGGACCTCAAAAACATCAGATTTGGAACAGGTTCCATGAAGGAATGAGCATCCCCTGCCGACTGGTCACATCCGCCATGAGCTCCTTGTCACGATCGGAAATAAACGGAAAAATCCGTAGACAATTCAGTGCTAAAAATGGCGAGAATGGCTGAATAACGAGACTGTTCATTTCCTTGTTTCATTAACATTTTTATGAATAGCTTGACTCGTCTTAGAAAGAGTCCATACGTAGAGTATGCTCTTGCGTATCGAATCAACTGGGAGACAAAACCCAATATACAGATGATAAGGGTATATTGCTACATAAGTAAGGGAAGTTGACGATTGAAAAATTAAGTCATCACGTTTATCATAAAGTTTTGTTGTTAGGTTACCATTAAAGTCTTTTTCTAGTAAAATATCTAAGTATGAAACAGATGTATCTGAATTTGTGGTATCTTTTATTCCAAGCTAGCTGGGATATATCGAGTCGACAAGTAACTATTGTTAATTGATAATACGTCGTTGATATATTTAAATGTCAAGTTGAAGGCCACAGCAAGTTTTTTCTTCTTCTCATGTAGAAGGTTTTGAATAAATTATGCTTTATATTAATACAAAAATATGTCTGCTTACAAGGGGGCGCAATTGGTACCCATGGGAATTCCAACAGATTGTTGAAAGACCTTATCTCCAAAAACTACATAGATATTGTCAATCAGAAACTCAAGCAACTTTTTAATATCAACTTCAGAGTACTTGTGTGTACAATCAGAATGGAATGTTTTTAACAAAATAATTTTAATTAGCAAATGAACAATGACAAGGTAAGTATATTTACGAGTTCGAATTTTTATTGAAAAAGTAGCTGTATATGTTTTCAAAAAGCCTGTACTATAATTTATCGTGGGGAATGGGTATATAAGGAGTTGAAAAGTCGCTTCATTTGATGTTTTTGGTTTTGGTAAAATTTTGTGACTTCAAATTTTTCTTAAAGTTCTTTGGAGTTTTTAAGTATCCACATCTGATTTATACCACTTCTCAAATATACTGTTGTACAGTACTCCTGAAGTTTTTGCTTCACTGCTGTAAATATTTTATTGAGGAGTAAAGAAAGAGGCTTGGTAGAACATTTACTTGATCCCGCTATGTATCTTTGTTTGTAAGGATTTTGTTGAGGTTTGGAATCCAGTACAGGTACATGTATGGTAATTCAAATTCATTTTGATTGTTGAGAATATTAAAAAAAACATTTAAAAATCACAAATGGTTTCGAAGAATTTCCTCATTAGAAAGCGAGCTATGGTTCTAAGTTGGATTACCACTTGCAGAATTAAATCATAGTTCCTCTAAAATACAATTCAAATAATGAGCCTTACAAACAAAGACAATGTTGTTACCTGCTTTGTCAACTGGGACCAGTACATATTGATCGTGTAGTCTATATAATTCTTGTTTCACTTCTGCATTGTCAAAGACAGAAGGATAAATAGTTTTTATACAGCCCCTCAATCGCTTAATTCTCAGTTTCAACATCCATCTGAAACATTTAATCCATTCTGACAAAGTGTCAAGGTCTCCTTTTTCATATTTATTTGGCCCATCGTCTGGCGTAATCTTCTACTGAATTCATAATAATTATGAAATTATGACGCCAGTTGAAAGAACCTGTTTCCCTAAACTTTGGCCCTCTTATAATAAGTGATTAAGGGTCCTCATTATTTGTGAATTCTTATTTTTCGCAGAAAAATGAATTAAAGTATTTATTATGTTATAATTAAGTGTGTCAGTTAATGGATTTCCGATCACATGCGCCAAGGAGTTCTTATATTGTATATAAGAAGTGAGAGTACTCGAAATTTTTGTTTACGATTTGGAAGATACAGGAAAAGGTTTGTTGCTGAAATACTTTTAAATAAGTATAATTGACATTATTTTCTTCTTATTCTTCCTATCTATTATTCATCGAGTTATCAAATTTGTTATTGATCCACTGTTAATTATTTATCAATGCGAGAAGTTAGAAAACTTATTGTATAATCTTTATTATTCTTAAAATACAAATACATGTAAGACTAATGTTATACTGCTGAAATCAATTTCTAAAATACATTTTTTTTATCAACAATTTGTTTTGAGGGTGAGATTATATTGTATTCTTGGAATGCCGAGTGTCGTTGTATTTCTTTATCTGAATACCAAAAATACAGCTAAAAACATTTTTTTATCAACTTCATTAAACTCTGATTAAAATGTTATTCTAAGAACACACTGATCTTTTATATATATATATATCAAATTCATTACAGCATGTTTAATGATTTTCTGCAGAGCGTTTTTTTTTTATTATAAGAGTTGAAAAAAAAATTTCCCTCTCAGATTTATATAAAATGAAAAAAAAATTCTGTTATCTAAATCATTGAAATTAAAATCATTAAGCTTAAGGTAGAAGTTGTCATTATTTGTTGATGTTATATGCACTTCGATTATATAATTCATTTTTCTCCTATGTAAAATTTATATCACATTTCTTTTTAATTTGACAGATGAGTTCCAGAGTTTTCCTTGTTGTTTTGGTTGTGTTTGTAATAGGTAAGTTCAAATCATTATTGACTAGAATTCTAACAGGCAAATGTTTTAATTCTCATGAAAATTACAGATAAAGATGGAATCTCGAGAGTCTGCACCTGACAAGTGTATGGCAGTAATAAGTGTAACATTACTTATCTTTGACGATACATTTTAGAATTGGATTTCTTTCGATTTTTCCATGACGAGGTTTGAATTGATAAGAATTTTCATCTTAATCACCTTTTTCACTTATGCAAAATTCTTTGACACAAGGATGATAACAAAAATTATAATTTATCTAGGACATGGAGCTTTTGAACTTTTAAAAAAAGTGTGATGCTTTTTTTTTCTTCAATCATTTTGTGTAAAAGAAAAAACAATTTTTCTATTTGGAATAAAAGCCTTTTGTATTTTAGAATTGTTTAGAATAGAATGAAAATTAAATGTAATGATAAAATAAGATGAATGCCCTGCGGCGGAAAATTTACAAAACAGTTTAATTCTAACACAGATATACACCCTCCGCAAATTAAAAAAAACAAATAAAATCAGTTCAAAAAGCTATAAATGATGATATACTTTAAAGCAATATATCAGCTTGAAAGGTTTTTAAAGTTGCATTATTTAGCAAAGAAAATAATAAATAAAATATTCAATTAAATTTGCCTTTCATTTTTAATATTCTGATAAACCCCTTTCTTTTCTTTTACCATTTAACTGTAAGAAGAAATTAAAGATAAATTAAATGACAAAGGAACTGATAATTTTTGTTTTATTTATCGCTGTAACAGTAGGAATGCTTACATACAATTTAATCGACATGGTGCAACTTGTCAGAATTTAAATTTTTAATAAAAGAGAATGCTTAATCGATACGGTGCAACTTGTTTCGCTAAATACAAAATCAAAAGTTTCATGAAACAACATGCATTACCTAGTGTACTTTGAATATTAAAAATGCATGAAAAACATTTTACAGACACTACTAGAGGCAGTAGTCGATACCGTATCGTTGATTTCAACAGACCTATAAGCTGGAACCAGGCCCGTGATGAATGTCGTAGAACTCCAGGATGGGACTTGGTAAAAATCGAGAACAGAAATGAAGACCAAGCACTTAAAACTTTTCTCGCCGGAGAGTGCAGTAAGTAATACTGTCATCATCTTCAAGATTTAAAAAAAATGAGGCACTTCCTAGATTAATTGAATCCTAAAATTGATGGTTATACATGTAATCGTTTTTTTTATACTATAAGATATAACATTTTGAAACCCATGAAAATCTTTCGGATATTAATAATAATAAATCAGAATAATAAATACGCACAAAAACTTTAAACAGTGTAATATGCTTGATTTAAACAGATAGCTGTGGAGTTGGCTGGTTTATTGGTGGGCAATCAGAAAATGGTGTCTGGACTTGGGCAGATGGTTCTCAAATGATATATAATAGCTTTCTATTCGAAAGAACATCACGTATCTGGATCCCTCAAACTGTGGTGAGAAACTTCGCTGTCATTTTCAAAAATGATTTGCAGTGGGGCTATGTGGCTCCTCGTCCGACTCCACAGATGGGGTACATCTGTGAAAAAACAACTTGTTAAGCATGATTTCGTTAAATAAATCTTCAAAAAATACTACTTTGTAATTCATTTAAAGAATCTGATGCATTGAAAATTTTGAAAACAGGAATGAATGATATTTCAAAATGGGACGCAGAGAACGATCCTTCGGGTGCGACCGAATAAATCAAATGAATGTCCTTTGTTGCAGTAAATGCTGGCCCGAAAATGATCCCTCACTGCTCAATGGCCATAATTGTTGATTACAGGTAAAATGTAGTCATCCACCAGCAACAAATGGCGAAGTCCCAACATAAATTAAGAAGTCTCGAATTCGAAGTGAGGTACATGTAAAAAAAAAAAACCATTCGAAGTCGCTTGCAGCAATGAAGACTTTAGTAAAAGAAAAATACTTAAAAACTGAGTATTTACTATGATCTTTATTAAAACTTTGGACATGTTCAATGTACAAAAGCTGTTGAAATCGTGTCCAGTGTATATCCTTAAATATTCATTATTTCGAATTCATTTTGTCGACAAGCTAGGAAACAAATACTACTGCACAATATCATTTGTTTCAGTTCCTTTTCGCAGAAAACTTTCATATCATATATTCTGGGTTACTCTAGATGACTAAAGACGTCGGTTCTCAATATAAAAAAGGATTCAGAAATGGTAGTTTGATTGACAAAGAGTCAAGATACCGTTTGTATATCTCGTAACTTTTATGTACGTTTAAGTACTGACAATCTCGGGGTCGTACGTTCGATCCCCGGCCTGGGCGCTGTCGATTTTCTTCAGAAAAAGAAGCCGTGGACTATTTCGGTATTGTTTGCTACCGCTGTATAGATCCTTAGAATACTATGCGAAAATAGTTGGGCATTGATTATATACAGACAAACTGACAAGAAGCATAATAATACAAATTATTTCATCTCAAGATAGTGATAGGATTTACTAGTTCATATTCACTTGAAAGTTATATCAATATATTATCATTAAGGAATACCAAGTTATTCATTAATATAATATACAATTATTAGAAGTTTTATTCTATTATGGCTAGTGGTTATTTGATTCCCTTTTCCGGTACCGCGTCAAACCTAAGACGTTTAACATAGGTAACGCTGGTTTTTTTTTTTCGCCAAGCGCCCGGCATTAGAGTGAAAGAAACAAGTCTTTCAGTTGAGAACTGAGGCCGATGTCACGATAGGCGTTGGTACAATAAAAATCCTTTACTGCTACGAAAGAAAATCCATTCATGGGGTGAAATTTGTGGTGCTTATGTGAAGTACATGATGTCTCTACATGAGTTAAAAAATCTTAAATGGTACAAAATACAATCAGTCATTTCGTAATGGTTACCAAGATGCCTAAGAAAAAGATTTATGTTTTTAATCACCTCTAATTATTTTACTCATATTTTTGTTGTTGTTCGTGTTTAAATGTCAGTGTTATGACAGAAAAGAAATGTATAGGAAGGACTTATGGCGGAAGTATTATCTCTTAGAGTACTCATTTCTTGACGCAAAATAAAACAAGGTCGATTAAGCGATCCATGACATTCTCAAAACAAATTCGAATATTTTTCAAAGACAATTTAACATATGAATATTTTTGAAGTATGTCTGAAATGAAATATATGGAAATATGGAACAGTATTCAAGCTCAGAAGTCCATGAAACAATACAAATGAGGAGCAGAGCAAACATAAACCCCTAAAACGTCAGAGGTAGGATCACATGCCATGCAGGAGTGAAAATGCCATGAAAATGATTAAAGCCTCTGTACACCTTAGGAAACATAGATCAGACATATTTTTATATTGACATGATATATCACTATTTTCTTTTTAGCATACCATCTATCTTTTTTTACTTTTTAAAAACGCAAACATTCTCAATTTCAAATTTTTCATCTGAAAATGATTTTTGAAAAATCAGAACTCTTTCAATAATCCTTTTATTTTGCTGCCGCATGGAATTGAGTATTCATTTACACAAAAATTCATTAAAATAAATGAACTCCTGTTTTCACAGATTAAAGTATGGAAGCAACGCAGCTAGGTTAAGGACGCCCATGAAATATACGCCTTATATTTTCAGAGAAAATGAATACAATTTTTTTTTAACAGCATTAGTTTTGATGAATGTGCATTGTGGTGTTTGCACTTGTATATATCGGGTCTCTGCTGAGTTCGGCCAAAGCAACATCGCTTACATCAGCTGTTTGTCACGTGACAGGTTTAAAATTAGAACATATATGTACTACTACAAAGATCGTAAAAGTTCAACGATTTACGGGTATTTTTCCGCTATAAAATTTATTCTTTTTTATTTAAGACAAATTTCTTAACATGGAAGTGCTGGGAGCAACTTCGTCATGCTCGGGAAATTGTGTAAAATTTTGCCGTCTTTCTATGATGTAATACGCACTGGAATAATGTTACATCGCGAAATAAATAAACAATGCACAACCAGCTCCCAGCACTTTTCAGATTAGTAGGAATAATAGCTACACGTATTTAAAAAATCATAATTGACAGTGAAGCGGATATCGTTGAACTTTTGATATTTTCAAGGGACTTGACCCCTCATTCTAACACATTATTGTACAAATGTGCTCCTAACGGCTATATATAAAGACTACACATTATCATTTTAGTTTGACAATCAAATGTGGATTAATATATATTTTAGAATATGTATTTATTTTGGTCAAATTCAGCTTGTTTCGTATTTATTTTTATTTTTACAAGCTACGATATAATCTTGATCCACGCCTCAAATACAGAGAAACTGTGACGTCTCTAAATGAATGAAAAATTCTCGAATGGGGCGTAAAACAACATACAATCAATCAAACTAAGAAATAACGTCATCTCAGTAAGTACAGCGAGATCAAGCTGGCTTTCACTCTACATACTCAGTGCTATTTTGGCAAGATAGTTTATAATATTTTATAATATTTTACAGAATTTGTGTACCTTTGTTTTTGAATCCAGGACAAAGACTAGGAATTTGAGATATTCTGATTGCAATCTAATGTTTTTTTCTAGCTATCCAACTCAAATGACAGAAACTAAGTTAGTCTTCAGACATGCACAAAGGGATATCTAAACTATATATAAACACATTTGTTGCTACATATCACATGACCCCGTTGATCACGTGACTGTCAATTTTAACTTTTTCAAGTGTTATATATAAATTGCCTCTTTACATATAATTGCCTCGTTATATACTTGATTCAGACAAAATACTCGGTTAAGTCTGAATTTGGAATTATGAATTTCTCATTTATTTTTTTTATTTTAAAATCACGATTGCATCTTTGGAGCAATTAAATAAGTCTATGAGAAGAAAAAAACAAACAATTTAAAAAATAGAGGTGTAAGAATTTTTAATGTTTTTTTTAACTGCACAATATTGTACATTTATGCAACTGCATTATTAAAACTCAGCATTTGTAATCAATAGTAGTTCAACTGATTACACATAAAATTGCAATTATTCTTTTCTGTATCTCTTTCCTTTTATCCCACGAGCCCTCCCATCACATTCATTCATTTTACAGTTCAAAGAAACTAGGCTTAATTTTTTTAATCATAAACTCTAAAAATTCAAACCTATTGCAAAACTTCAGATCTTTAAAAGAATTAATGGTAATTATACATTTCATTAATAAATACTTTAAACAATACAAATTGTGACCAGGGCACAAACAAAGACTCCTGACACCAGAAGTGAAAACATGACTACAAACAGTTTATGGAGCATGAAATTCCCTCTTGGTATCCCACTATATGAAGTTAAATAAAAATAACGTATTGTAAATGGCTAAGGAATATCTTTTTTCAAAAGAAAGGAGAACATACTCCTTTAAAGGTCATAGTACACTTCAAAATTTTTATAAGTAATCTCTCTGTTAAAATCTTACAAATGTTTCATTTGTCTGGTTATATCTAAGTTAAAAACTTCTGCACAGATGTAGAAAAAAACAGCAGTAATCTTATTGCGTCACGGTAGCTTAGTCGGTAGAGCGCTAGATCCGTGATCTGAAGGTCGTGTGTTCGAATTACGGCCGCAACTGATTGATTGATTGGTTGCATGTTGCTTTACGTCCCATTCGAGAATTTTTCACTCATATAGAGACGTCACCATATACCGGGGAAGGGCTTCAAATTTGGACCTTTACTCGGCACTCAGGGCCATTGAGCAGTGAGGGATCTTTATCGTGCCAACGCCTGTCGTGACACGGGGCCTCGGTTTTTAAGGTCTCATCCGAAGGACCCGCAACATTCACTTCAAAGTGCATATGCTTTTAACATCTGTATGTTTTACAACGTTTATTTGAGTCTTAGGAAGTAATTTCACACAACAGTAAAGACTTTTTAATGTTAAGGTAAATACCACTGTCCTTAACAATATTTTGTATCGCGATTACCTCAGAGTTATTTAACTTAATGTCACTCTTTTGCGGCGAAGTCGAGGAAACTCTAAATCTCGCGAGATTTCCGTGGCATGAATATTACAAACGCTTAGTGACAATATCAAACAATTCGAACAAATAGTATGCCGAAAGTACTATGTATAACAAAGGGTTGAACTTCAATTAGTAGGTTGTCTAATTTGGAATGTTAAAAGTTTTTTTATCAGCTTCCAAAAGTAACAATAATCAGAAAGAAATGGTTGAATTTAATTAGAAGAGTCGGCTTGCTAAAAAAGTATCAATAAAAATGTAACACGTGAGGACTAGGTTCTCTTAAAATTTATGTGTGGTTCAGGGAATGTTGAAGATATTTCACCAAGACTTCTTTCATATCTGCCCTTTAAAAATCCACAGTGCTTGATCTCGCGTTGTATGCAACAGCACATTGCCCCCAGCTAACAGACGTTCCTACCTTCACCGCGAAAGAGTTGCATTAAGTTAAGTAATCGCGATAACAAGTATAAAAACTTTTATTTTTTCAACAATTTTAATCATACTGAGAACTCCAAATGCAATTATCCTTCAAGGATCAAGATATGTGTTTCGTCAGTCTGATAAAGGTTTTTCCTTCAATTCATTCAT